TCGAAGGAAATTATTTGTCGAACCCCTTCGGATGTTTCATCAAGCACTTGATGAAAGTGTTGTTGTCATCCTAACTTTTGTTTCATCACCTTCCTGTCATTGAACTTGCCATCATTCACATTGATTTTCAGGGGCATTTGGAGGATTTGGGACCACTACAACGACTGCTACTGCACCAGGATCCACTTTCAACTTTGCTTCCTCCAACACAACAGGTCGGTGACAGAGATCTGAGCAAAATGTGAATTATTGATTATTTTAAATTGTGTCATTCAGTATGGTTGTTTATCATAAAGTGTTCTGCAATGCCATCATTAAGGGTGGTCACTACAGGTTGCAGTAAAACCTCTTTATATGTTGTCTTGGGAAATAATGACAGTGTTGTTCTCCAGTATTGATCAGCCCTATCCCCTTTATTTAGATTACAAATAACTGATGCTGTATTGCACTATCCCGCCACAAGATGTCACCCTTTCCCCCTGAACAAGGGACTGAACCTTTAGCTTAAGCAGCCATTCTTCTGCTAAAGCTGGATTAATATTTTCTAGGTATTGTAGATTTAATAGCTGGTTTTCCTGCAGATCATAATATCCTAATATTCTTTCCTAGGAGGTCTGTTTGGAAACACACAGAACAAAGCTTTTGGGTTTCCATCTGGACTTGGAACTGGTACCACCACTGGAGCAACAGGCTTTGGAACTGGATTAGGAACAACTGGCCTCGGGTTTGGAGGTTTTAATATCCAGTCGACTGCACAGCCACAAGGTCAGTAAATGTTGAGCTTTTTTATTTGATTATGTGAAATATTTCAGAAAAAAAGGCTATCTTGTGTAATAACAAGCATAGAAACTTCATTTTTTGTTATTTTTTCAACTCTGAATGAACATACGTTTGGTAAGCACACATATCTTACCATGACAATCTGTTTAACTCCCTTTTTGTCTAAAATATTCATTTTTATTATCTGTGAGCAGGAGGCTTGTTTGGCCAGCCAGCCCAGCAGCTGGGTCAAGCACAGCCCACCCAGCTTTACCAGCAGGTCACCGCTCTGTCGGCCCCCACCCTGTTAGGAGATGAACGGGACTCCATACTCGCAAAGTGGAACCAGCTGCAGGCCTACTGGGGAACAGGGAAGGGCTACTATGCTAATAACAACCCGTCGGTGGAGTTCACTCAGGAGAACCCGTTCTGCAGATTCAAGGTAAAAATGGGGATAGTTGGTTCATACAGTTGGCACTCTTTCATTTTAACAAAATTAAATAATTATATGCAGTTTGGATAATTTAAAGTATTTGCTCTGAGAAAATACTTGAACTTTCAGGCTGTTTCCTCCTTTTTATTGTGTTAATTGTCCATCCACTCATCCCCCATCTTTCTATTCCAAACCCTTAATGGTTCAGCCATCCAACCATTGATCCCTACCTTCATCCAAGTTATTTGTTGCTTTCTTTTGTCTCTATTAATGTGTTTATATTATCATTTATGAGTCTAAGGACATTTTTTTTCCATCACTCCAATGTGTCCACCAATCCTGCTGATCTTCCATTAAATCATCTGTATTTCTGCTTTGAAAAAATGTGCTTCATCTCTTTGCAGGCAGTTGGCTATAGCTGCGTTCCAGTAAGCAAGGATGAAGATGGGTTAGTCGTGTTGATTCTGAATAAAAAGGAACCTGATGTACGTGCTCAGCAGCAGCAGCTGGTCGAGTCGCTGCACAAGGTTCTAGGAAGCAACCAAACTCTCACCGTCAACGTGGAGGGTGTTAAAGCTCTGCCCAACGATCAGTACGTTTCTGTAGCTTCACATCCAAGAGGTTTCTAATTCTTACCAAGCTGATGGTTTGATTACTCATGATGACTTATCAACGTCTTCTTCCGTCCTCTCACATCCAGGACAGAGGTTATCATTTATCTAGTGGAACGTTCCCCCAACGGTACCTCCAAGAGGATCCCAGCTTCCACCCTCTTTGGGTTTCTGGAGCAGGCCAACATTAAGGCTCAGCTCGGCCAGATTGGAGTGGTCATGTCAGTCACGCGAACAGAGCTGACCCCAGCACAGCTGAAGCAGCTGCTGCAAAACGCTCCTGCAGGTAGATATGTTCCCCAGGATAGAAATGTTGTTTACTTGTTAAAATCAGCTAAAATTGTGATCTCTGCATTTGCATCTCCAGGAGTGGATCCCATCATTTGGGAACAAGCAAAGGTGGACAACCCTGACCCAGAGAAGTAAGATGGAAATGTTTTTCTTTTCTTCCTTCCATCCAAGCAGCTCATATCTAACTAGAGTCTGCCCTTGAACCATTTTCAACATATCTGATGTCTAATTTAGCTTTCACTACCCCTAATTAAAACTTCTAATAAGTTAACAGAAATCCATTAAAGATGTTGAATACATTCCCATGTAGGGCTCATTTCTCTGGTTTTCCTCCAGGTTAATTCCTGTGCCCATGGTCGGTTTTAAGGAGCTGCTCCGCAGACTACAGATCCAGGAGCAGATGACCAAACAACACCAAACCAGAGTGGATGTGAGTAAAAATATCTACTGCTATTGTTACTAGATTTAGCCTATGTTATGTGTAAATAGGATAGAAACTGACAAAGGGCCATTTGGATGTTAGAAAAGGAATTCAGGGGCAGATATTTGTAGGTGTCAAGGACGGTGCACAGATGTCCAGTCAGTGCTCACTGCCAACAACTTGTTTTCTTCTGGAATTATTAGAAATACCAGAGCAATCTGCAGGGAGGGAAGGTATTTCAGAAAATGTTTCCTTAGACTAGAAGGGTATATATATTATCTAAAAAATAAATGTAAAATTAATAAAGGAATATCAAAAACACATGCATAAATATTCTTTTTATTTACACCTTTTTTATTTTTAGATAATCTCCAATGACATCAGTGAGCTGCAGAAAAACCAGGCAACAACTGTGGCAAAGATTGCTCAGTACAAAAGGAAGCTGATGGATCTCTCTCACAGGGTGCTGCAGGTAATTTATGAATTCAATTCACCTTTGATTTCAGATCCCCTGTGCTCCCCCCTTGGTTTTTGTTTTTTTTCCACAAAGTTTCCACAAGTTTGAATGTCCTGGCATGGTCCGCATCCCTCCCTGCTCTGTAAATTCCTCTTCGGTAACCCTGCCATATTAATCATTGCGTTGTTTTCCTGAAAGGTCCTGATAAAGCAGGAGATTCAGAGAAAAAGCGGCTACGCTATCCAAGTGGATGAGGAGCATCTCAGGGTGCAGCTGGACACCATTCAATCAGAACTCAATGCACCCACACAGTTCAAGGCAAGTCTGTGCAAACCTAGATCAGCCTGTCCACTGAAAGGATTTAGCTTTTCATTAGTTATAAACATTAAACAAACAGACTACTTTTGTTTTGTAATGTGGTGTTTTTTAAATTCTTTCTATCCAGGGTCGATTGAATGAACTGATGTCCCAAATTCGAATGCAGAACCACTTTGGGGCCGTGAGATCAGAAGAGCGCTACAATGTGGATGAAGACCTCCTCAGAGAAATCAAACAAGTAGGATTCAGTATTTGTCTATATTTATAAATCTATTGCTTGTATTCCATCAGCTTGCAGGAATTACTTTGATTCTCGAACACAAACTATATTTGGAAGAAACTTGAGGTGTTTTTATCTTTTACTTGATCATTGTTTTTTGCTTCACATTTTCAGCACTTAAAGCAGCAGCAAGACGGTCTAAGTCACCTGATCAGCGTCATCAAAGATGATATGGAAGACATCAAACTCATAGAACATGGACTAAACGACGGCGGACACATGAGAGGGGGCATCTTAAGCTGAGCGGTCCTCTCCAATCGCAACGTGTGTTCAGACCTTTAGTAAATCTGAAAAGGAAAAAACTTCTTACCCAGACCAACCTTCACCATAGAGGGATGTCAGCTCATGTTTATCACAGTTTTGCAGCTTGTATAATTGAATGTTCATTGCTGTCTGGACTCAGATTAAAGAATTATTACCAGTGTCTAATAAAAGCAGGATACCCTCAGGTAAAATCAGATTATGGATGTTGGGTTATTAATGTGTCTGGCAAGTAAACAGGCTGAGAGTGTGCGCCATGCTTTAAAGCAATGTAAATACATCTTTGTATTTCTTTTTTTAATGCTGGTAAAAGACTAATAAATTTTCTTTGAATTAAATTTATATTATTGGTGGAGTAGAAGTTTTTTTTTTTTTTGGGGGGGGGGGGTAATTGCATGGTATGTTTCCTGTTTACCTTTATAGATTAGCGCTTTCCTACATCTCATCAAAGCAGGGCTTCAGTTGATAGGATTTATGTCCCGGATTTGCATCCCCTACTGGAATGAAAAGGCTGATTGGCAGTTGAACTTATTAGTTGGCTTGAAACCGATTATATCCCCTCATGCAATAGGGTCACCCATATCCCAAGGCACTGTAGCACAACTAGATGTAAACGTGAGATGCACAGAAGAGATAACAAAATAACTACTATACTTTGTTTTTGATTAAAGAGAAAATACATGAATATTTACAGAAAAATAACTAGTATTTCAAAAATGTTTACTTATTTCACAGACCATATTATATATTTCACCAGATGCATTTGTATTTTGGATGTTTGACAAAACACTAAATATGTGGGTATGATCTGCTCGGTTTGCAAATGGGGAAAACGTGCCTTAAATCTACAAGTTGGGAATCAGATAAACAATTTCATGCAGGTGTTTATTTTCCTGTCAGCCTTTCCCAGCTGCTGCAGCTCAACACAAACAGGCAACCTCATGTCCCGTTACCTAAACTGAACTTTTCAAGCTCAACACAAATCACCTATTTTGAAGTTGAATGTCTAACGCAAAAAGGGTCTCCTTGTTCTATTGTTATTCCCCAGAAGCAAGGAATTATGGATTACTAGTCATAAACATGTTCAGAGGATTTGCTACTTTGAGGTGTTTTGTATGGAGCAATTTCATGTAATGTGATAAGTACCGAGTCTCATTAGGCAACAAAAGGATTTTACACCAAATGTTTTTATTTTCTTTCACCACTCAAAAAGTTCCAAAGTAAAAAAATAGTTGAAAATTATGATTAAACTATATTGGGTAGAAAACACCTAAAATACACCTGGAATAGATTAAATAATCAGAAAAGTTATCCATAAAATATAGAAGATTCAGGTTCAGAAGATCTAACAAGATTTACAGTAGTTTTAGTGATCAAGCACATTAAGAAATAAACAATGATGACAAAGTGCTTAGTCTGATCCTGAGAATGTGTTTAAAAAAAAAAAAAGCACAACACTAACCTAATGCTACTTCTGCTCCTACTTCTATCCATCAGGCGTGTGTGGAGAGGTCGACTAGTCGAAAGGCCTCCATGAACTCATTGATATCAATGCTGCCGTCTTTGTTGAAGTCCATGCTCTGAGCCAGGTCAGCGATGGCCTTATCACTGATCTCCATTTTAAGATGTGAGCTCAGGAGTTTCCAGGTCTGACGAAACTCCTCAAAAGAGATCAGACCTGTAAGAATGATAAATTGTTACCTATTCTTATGGCCCTGCTGTCATCTTATTATTTCAAATAAAATGCAGCTTAAAAGAAATGTCACCCGCCAGTAGAGGAATTTAAAAAGTTAAAACTCTTTAAATTAAAATCATTTAAAATGAGGGCAAAAAGTGCCATGATCTGAAAATAAGTAAGAAAATTATGTCGGAAAAATGTATTTAAATGTTTAGATGAGTTAAATGTATGTAATCTTAAATGAGGACATGAATACATTTTGAATAAACTAGGGGGTTAAAACATATATTTAGGTATTGAATGGTTTAATATTCTTTGTTCTACAGGAAGAAGTATTAAATGCATAAATAAATGACTATTTGAATTTATTAGTTACGTAAGATTTCGGAATATGGTTTATTACATGTATGATTACATTTTTAACTGAAAATAAATTTGTAATAAACACTTTTATCCTACATTATTAATAACGATATAGTCATGGATAAATATTGAACATTGTAGATTGCAAAGAAATCAGAATAGTCGATTTCAGAATATATCTATGTATTTTAGAATAGCTGCAGATTATTATTTCAGTTTGAAAATTGCCTCTCCTAGAGAAGAGATTCAAAAGTGCCACAAGCCAATGCGGTGAATACATATATATATATTGATATTTTTGTCAATAATTATTTAAAAGTGCAATAAAAATATATATAAAAAAAGAAATAATAGAATTGTAATTGAATTAAAGAGGTATATAAAATCCATAAAAATAGTATAACTTCATTTTCCTTATTTCATGTTTGTGGCAGCAGAATGCCTTGGATTTATTTTAATCTATTTAATCTATTTTAATCAGAATAACCCCCTGATCTTATCTGCAGCTAGTTAAGATTGTAGAGTGTTGTTGACTGAATATACTGCTTAACCAATGACACGTCAAGAGAAAATGGGAGAACATTGAAAACTAGCTGGAAGAGCCCAGGTTGGGATTTGGATCCTAGACCTTCTGCATCTAGGCACCGGTCATCAAACATTAGCCATTTATTAATTTACTCAATCTGTTCTGTATTTAATTATAGTTAAGACAAATCTAAATAATAACTGCAGAACTTTTGGTCCCCCTTAGGTGAGTTGTGCTCTATTCACCTGAATGATCTGTGTCGATAATCCGGAAGATGGTTTCGAGGTTAGAGTGTTGTTTGTACATCGTCTCCATGATACTGGTATCTGACACCTGCCAGGAGGTTCAAATTATGTTTAAAATGACAATAATTATGAAATATTAAGAAGGATGTGAGCAGAAGGTAAAAGATACCAAAATAAAAAAAGATTAACACACCTCTGGTTTGGGTTCAGTAATGGAGAGCTCCCTAATCCACTGCTGGTAGTTAAGCATACCATACTGGGCCCTGTTGACAAGCTGAGGGCGCAGCACCCTCCAAGGTAGCCCCAGGTTGAGTACCTTCTCTGTAGCTGTCGCCCAGTGGTGCAGAGAGATCCGCCCTTGGATAGGAAGCATTGAAAAGTTAATTTCTTTATCTGCTTTCATGTTCATTGACTCTAAGAGTGGTTCCACTGTTCTTGTACCTGTGTGGTTTGGGTCAAACTCCTGAAAGGCTCCAATAAGATCCGACTTATGAACAAAGAGTTGCTGCCTTAGAGCTCGCAGTGCTGATCTCTCTGTCCAACCAACACTGGGGAGAAAAAAAACAGACTTTGAAATAGTCTATAAAATTATAATTTGAAAGGAAAAGGTCTTTTTAAAAAGGCACAGAAACACCTTTTTTATTAGGCGTTGAAACGACTGTTTTAAATAATTTAATAATTCCTTCAATTTATATTTCTGTTTTCAGTGTAAACAAATTTTCTTAAACATATAGGTAAAATTCATCTCTTTAAAACTAAAACAGTTATTTACAGAAAATGAGTCTTTTTTACTAATGTATCATTAATGATCAAGCAGCTTCAGATATTAACTCGATCTATCAATTCATTACCTCCATATCAAAGCAAATAAACATTTTTACAAACTTTGAAAAACATTGAATGTATCTATATCTTTTTGTTAGCCATATAAAATTGTCTTTTTTTTTATTTTGATTTTTTTTTATCTTTCTGTTTGAAATATATATACATTCTGATTTGTATGAAATTTGATTTGTGTCTTTATTATTCAATTTAAAAAAGGTTGCTTATATGTATTTTTAATTAAAAACACTGTCCCTTATAAAAAAAAAAATTAAATCAAGAAAAAGGTATTTGAATGCAAAAATATAGTAAAAAAAAATACATTTGAACACTTTGAAATGTTTTTCTTAGAAGTTTTCTGAACGTTGCTGTTCTCTCTCAATATTTTCTCTGTAACTTTGTAACTGTGCACCTTTGTCTCAAGGTCAGCTCCCTGCATGTGCTGCTGGCTTGGTACTGAATGCAGTGAGGGACCAGATCGGGCCCCATCCTTATGTATGCTCCTCTGTTGCTGCCCACCTCGTAATAATTGGAGGCTGAAAATATGGTCAGCACCTGTGGTTAACAGTGAAGAACAAAACATCCATTGTTAACTCTTTATTATTTTTTTTCACTCGTCTTTTGAGATTTTTTTTGTTGTGTTTTACTTTGTATCTTCCTGTGCTCACCCTGCGATTGTGGCAGAACTCATAGCCGTCCTGTTTGCACTCGTGGGAGCGGATGAGGAGCTGAAGGTTGTGTCTTCCCAACACCTCCTCAGTTACATCCGGCCCCCAGTAGCAGCCTCCACCTCGCACCTCGTTGGGAATGCAGCCATTTTGTGGCTGTGGGTCGCTCCACAGAAGATCCACTATCTGAGTACATTCATTACTTGTGATAAGTTATAACGATAATAAAAAACACTCTAATAAAATGCACAAATAAAAACATAATATAAGACGTTTACTGTCCATTGTACCGGTAATAAAAAAATGTCGCTGCCATGGTTATTAAAAGAGTTTCAAATTGCAATAATGACACAGGCATACAATCATGGGTTTGCCTTGTTTAAACCTCAGAACAAATCCTTTTGTTTGCTCCTGTTTGTTAAAGTGAGATTACACCAAAGTGGAGCTGGAAGGTCCTTAGAAAGGAGATTGTTGTAGGTTAAGGAGGCAAATAATTTGAAATCAGGCATTCCTGCATACAGAAAAAAAAACTTTTCAATAATTGCCGACTGTAGTCAAAGACCAACATTCCTAATAGAGAAAACAAATAAATAAATAGCAATAATACAATTCACTTCTGCATATTAAACCATCCCCTCGAGGAGCAGTGGGCTGCCACTGTGTGGAGCCTGGGGAGCAGTCAGGGGTTAAGGGTCTTGTTCGGGGACTGCAGAGTGCAGGGTCAAAACTGATTTATTTGGACATCAAAAATGAATTGCATGTAAAAAAGTGTGTCAAAATCAGCATTCAAGCTTAAGAGACTTATAACCCGATAACTACCTCTTAATTGTAAGCAAGAAGAGGGAGGGGTCACAGTTTGGGAATCCTTTTGATAGATTTGATAAATCTGCCAGTTCTAGTGTTTGTTACAATATGTTTTTTCAGGAAAAATGATCTTTTGTTTAATGACTAACAAAAATTCGATTTTTTTTGGGGGGGGGGGGGGGGTTAACTACATTTCACTCCCAGATGAAGCACTATGTATGACATTACATTATACATAGAAATGTTTCTTCAGCGTTTTTAGAAGGAAGGAAAGTGAATTTTCAGCAGAATTTCAACAGTCTGTACATGATCATTCAGGAAGAGCGTGTCCTGCAAATTCAATGGTATGATGCATTTAGCTTGTTTTACTTTTCTTGTTTTTTATGGTTTCAAAAATCCCAGAAACCAAAACATGTAAACATCAGGCTCAGAAACTATTTTGAGACAAATGGTTCACGTAAAATATATCAGATCATAAGAGAGAGTCCGACTTACAGACCACCAGTAAAAAAAAACACAAAGTCAACAAATATGATGCATTTTAGTTATTTTAAGTCTTTTTGACTGCAGCTGCCTTTGCTGTAATTAGCCAGTGTTGTTTTCAGGAGAAAAGACTTGAAATATGAAAAGTTTTCTCCAATTATGGATGAGGATCGACTACTTTAATACACCGATTTTACATAGCAGTGCCGCTTTGCTGTAAAACAGCACACAGACATTCCATTTAATCAAATATGACTATCTAGAGGAGCAAAAAAAAAATGAAATCTGCTAATTCGATCTGTTTTTAATACCTGCAGGATTTGTAAGTCATCAATTAGGGTTTATAGCAAAGCATTGTTCTTTCCACTTTTTTATATGATCAACAATAAATGCCACAAGAGCAGATGTTTTAACCTGGACAAGGAAAGCAGAAACGGAACACATTTTATGGTTCAGTTTCCCTTGGTTCTATTTCCCTCCATTAAAACCGCAGAGACAGAAGTTTTTATCTACTATTAGCAGTTCTACATTTTATGTAAGCCCGCCCTGCGTGCTTATGCACACTGGCAGTCAGCACACTGGAATAAGACCTACATTTCATTTAATTACAAGAAATAGAAGTTTGGAAAATTTTCTGATCACATACTATGAGCTTGACCCATCAAATGGAATTTGGATGATACTGTTTTGTAGATACAGTTGGAGTGTTGAGTAGCTGCAGGGCGGCTGTTTGACCAGATAGAGAGACTAATACAGCAGCTTAGGCTCTTGTTAGGACCCTAATATCTCTCTTTAATAGGACCATGGTCCCCTGAACTTTTTTCTGCCAAAAGCAAACCGCAGCTCAAGCTGAAGCCCACTTCCCTGAGTTTAGATGGTCCACAAGCTCCTGATTGGCCCAATGCTTTTCCTGTGTCATTGACTGTCACCACTGTATTTCCTAAGAAGCTCACTTTGCAAACATCTGATGCGCCACTGAATCGGATCTGTGATTGGATGGATACTTGCGTCCACCCACTTCTGAAATCAAAATTTCATCCATGAATGGGACACATTGAAAAAAGAGGAGAAATTTCCTCACAACAAGCTCTGGTAAATGTATACATATTTTCTGTTTTGAATAAATGGAATCACATTATGTTTTTTGGGGGGTTTTTTTGCTTAAAAAGTTTCTATAGTGTTTTCACTGTCATCTCAAATGCAGAGTCGTCTGTTTCTTTGTGAGGCAAGCTAGAAAACATTTGAAACAGTTTATTATGACCATTAAACCCCAGAATCCGTGTTCTAGAAGTATGAAGATCAGTTCATCGCATACTTGATGCAAGAGGATTGTTTTAATAATATCTATCATCACCTACTTGTTTCCACTCCTGACCGTGTGTCTCTGTGGATTCTCCAAACTCTGGGTCTGAGTCAGAATCTGACGTCTTTATTTCGTTGTAAGTCTGGTCAAACCCGGCCAGCCTGCGTCTCTTCCTCAGTTCGTCTTCCACAGAGCAGTTGAGCTGGTTTCCAGTAGTAGGCAGGTTGTGGAGAGAACGACGTGGCATTTTGTTCCTCTGAGCTGAGTTAGAGGTGTTGGTTAGGGAGCGTACCCGGCGACGGCCTTCTGCTGGTCCGGTTGTATCTTCGTTCCTGCTGATTACTGCCTTATTGCCATTGAGCATGTGGCGGATCATCTTAGGAGGTCGAAGGACTGACACATACTGCAAAATAACCCATTCAACAGCTTATTTTGTGGATTTGCATTGCACAAAACCCACACACCTGACTAAAGCCAAAAGCTTCTCTTACTCTGTGTCTGTCGATTCTGGTGACCGCCTCAAGGTCGGTTGAGTCAGAGATCCCCCCATGTACAACAAGGACCTTATCGTTGATCAATGTAGCCAGAGGAAGCCAGCTGAAGATCTTTTGGAGCAGCTTTAAAATCTTCCTGCCATGGACCTAAAAGTTAAATTCAAGATGTAGAATCATCTATGATGGAATCCAATGTAACACCATGTTGCCATTGGTTAGGGTTTTGTCGATACTCACTCTGTATTTTACCAAGACTTCTTTTGTAAAACCGTATCTGCAGAAAACACATAAATAAAAACACACTGGAATATCAAAATTAGTTCAGTGTAAATCATTTAAGTCTTCCAGATTAGCTGTTATCTCAGGTTTATTACAGTTTCAACAGAAAGTGGGGGAGCTGCAGCCCCACTACCCCTGCTACAGATGAGGTAGGCCAGTCCAGAGGCCTTATGCCAAGACTACTTGGTTTGCAATGCTTTTACAAAGAACAGTCTGAAGAGTTTTTATTCAGCTCCAGTGAATCAACACTCTATAAGATCAACTTTCCTGCAAAATCGACTGTATTATTCTGCATATCTTCTATAATCAGAATCAGAATCAGAAATACTTTAATAATCCCAGAAGGAAATTACTTTTGTTACACACTCCAGTTACAGTTTTATATATAAGTATGTGGTGGAGAGTGTGAGCATTATGGACAACAATGAGCTCCATCTTCAGAAGATTTTTAAACAAGAATAGAGCGTCTTCGGTGAGACGCTTCTCTAGATCCGATGCAAGACAGACTGATACAGAAGACCCTTCCTGCTCTGAGTGGTTCTCTGCATGTGGGTCAGATCGCTTAAATCAATTATGACATCCAGATAGTTGGGGTTATATTTGTGCCTTATTTATTCAGTATCTTAGATGACAGACTAAATAGTTCTTGATGAGACAGCAAAAAATAGGATATCACTTTAAGAAACAACCTGGCCCTAAAATGCTTTACAACTTTATGCCTGAAAAGGATGCTTATGGGTGTTTATGATGCAGTCTGACATCAACTATAGATCCACCTGTGTTACCAGATTAGCACTCTGTGTTGTAAAAAGGAATGAGAATAGAATTAGAGGCTAAAGTGAAGATTTTACCTCAGATTAACGATGTGATCTTCGTGGTTCCCTCTGTTCAAATGCACATCATTGGGGTAAACAAGTAAGAACCCGAACAGGATAAGCAGAATCTCTAAGGAATTCTTGCCCCGATCCACAAAGTCTCCATTGAAGATGTAGGGTTTCTCACATGATGGTAAACCATTCTGGATGAAAAAACAAAGACTATTAACTGGGCATCCAGAATTACAATATGAGGACCTTCGTTATGTTTATTTACCTTATAAAATATCAACAGCAGGTCTTCTAGCTGCCCGTGGAGATCTCCTGTTATAACAAAATACCAAATTTTTGCATATGATAAAATATTAGTGAAATATCTATAAAGGACCACTTTGGTTTACCACATATTGTAATCTCCTTGGTTGGGCAGACGGAGACATGATTGATGTTTGGAAGGATTTGTAAAAATCTCCAAGTTTCTCCAAGAATCTGAAGAACATAACGAGCATGGAGCTGCTACTAGGAAAAATAACATGAAAAAATACACAGAACAAATATTGTAAATGACTATGATGATCTTCTTTTCTCATTTGGGCTTTTTTATTTTTTATTTTATCTACTATCTGAGTTCCTTGTGTACCAGTATACCTACTTGTTTATGCTTAAAAGCCTCCATTAGCTTTGACAACCCACAAAATGTCATGGGGAAGGTTAGGTGGGGGCCACTGTAGCTGTCGGGCACCTCGATGCCTTTGTAGCAAAAATATCGTTCCCAGTCTGCATCATGGCAGATCTCATTCTCACGAAAGATGTGAGATATAAGGTTTCCTTGATTAGAGACAGAGAGGAATTCAAAAGGAGGTAGATCAACAGTAAGGAGGAAATAAGAGAGCCAGTCTAAATCTCTGAGGAATATTGTCGTACTTTCACTGCTGGCTGGAGTGAAGTGGTCCATTAGGAAGGCAAAAAAGTTGTACAGCTGTGAGAAGAGAAATAATTTCAAACTGACTTTGATATAAAAAGAGTTTATGGTAAACAATCACACACAGTTGAGTTGCATCAACCCTCCAATAAAAACAGATACAACATACAGGTGCTGGTCATAAAATTAGAATATCATGAAAAAGTAGATTGATTTCAGTAATTCCATTTAAAAAGTGAAACTTGTATATTATATTCATACATTACATACAAACTCATATATTTCAGATGTTTATTTTGTTTAATTTTGATGATTACAAATGACAACAAATGAAAATCTCAAATTCATCATATCAGAAAATTAGAATATTACTGAAGACCAATAAAAACAAAGGATTTATAGAAATGTTGGCCAACTGAAAAGTATGAACATGAAAAGTATGAGAATGTACAGCACTCAGTATTTAGTTGGGCCTCCTTTGGCCTGTATTACTGCAGCAATGCAGCGTGGCATGGAGTCGATCAGTCTGTGGCACTGCTCAGGTGTTATGATAGCCCAGGTTGCTCTAATAGTGGCTTTTAGCTCTTCTGAATTGTTGGGTCTGGTGTATTGCATCTTCTTCTTCACAATACCCCATAGATTTTCTATGGGGTTAAGGTCAGGAGAGTTTGCTGGCCAATTAAGAACAGGGATACCATGGTCCTTCAACCAGGTACTGGTAGCTTTGGCACTGTGTGCAGGTGCCAAGTCCTGTTGGAAAATGAAATCTGCATCTCCAAAAAGTTGGTCAGCTGCAGGAAGCATGAAGTGCTCTAAAACTTCCTGGTATGTGGCTGCGTTGACCCTGGACCTCAGAAAACACAATGGACCAACACCAGCAGATGACATGGCACCCCAAACCATCACTGACTGTGGAAACTTTACACTGGACTTCAAGCAACGTGGATGAAGTGCCTCTCTTCTTTTCCTCCAGACTCTGGGACCTTGATTTCCAAAGGAAATGCAAAATTTACTTTCATCAGAGAACATGACTTTGGACCACTCACCAGCAGTCCAGTCCTGTTTCTCTTTAGACGCTTCTGACGCTGTCTGTGGTTCAAGAGTGGCTTGACACAAGGAATGCGACAGCAGAAACCCATGTCTTTCATACGTCTGTGTGTGGTGGTTCTTGAAGCACTCACTCCAGCTGCAGTCCACTCTTTGTGAATCTCCCCCACATTTTTGAAGGGGTTTTGTTTCACAATCCTCTCCAGGGTGCGGTTATCTCTCTTGCTTGTACACTTTTTTCGACCACATCTTTTCCTTCCCTTCGCCTCTCTATTAATGTGCTTGGACACTGAGCTCTGTGAACAGCCAGCCTCTTTAGCGATGACCTTTTGTGTCTTGCCCTCCTTGTGCAAGGTGTCGATGGTCGTCTTTTGGACAACTGTCAAGTCAGCAGTCTTCCCCATGATTGTGTAGCCTATAGAACTAGACTGAAAGACCATTTAAAGGCATTTGCAGGTGGTTTGAGTTAATTAGCTGATTAGAGTGTGGCACCAGGGGCCATCAATTTTGAACCTTTTCACAATATTCTAATTTTCTGATATGATGAATTTGAGATTTTCATTTGTTGTCATTTGTAATCATCAAAATTAAACAAAATAAACATCTGAAATATATGAGTTTGTATGTAATGTATGAATATAATATACAAGTTTCACTTTTTAAATGGAATTACTGAAATCAATCTACTTTTTCATGATATTCTAATTTTATGACCAGCACCTGTATTTTGTTCTCAAGAGATTCAACAGTTCATTACTGACCCAATAAATAGTGGCACTAAGAGGCTGTTTAATACATTCAAACCAGCAGCAAGGCCACAAGAACGCTCCCTTTTGGAAATTCTCCTCGATCATTTTCAAAGAGCACGTCAAGTCAAACCAACACATCTGTCAGGCTTAATTAGTTTGACCATCTTCACACATTTGGAGTGTGCTTTACAAAGAATCAGGAACACTCATCTGTATTGCTGCTCAATTTCAGCAGGCAAATCTATAAGGTTCACCCATGCTCACCGTGCTGAACTCTATTCAGAGAACCAACTTCAGGTGAAAGCTTCTCCAAACGGAAACAGACAATCTAAGTTTACATGATTCACACTTAAAACAAGCACAAACAGTTTGCTTATTGTTTAATGTAATGTTTGTGTTTGAATACACAGAAGTATGCACGGCTTGCAGCATAATTTTTTTAATGTTTTCATTCACTGCCAACCTAAAGGTAAATTAGGAAAACACGGTTTAAAAACTTTGTTAAATATTCAAAGTCGATTGAATTTGTTGTTTCTAATGTTTAATGTTTATCTCATATGTGTGTAGATTATTAACCTACTTATGTCCTAAACATATTGCTCTGAGGTGAGATCCATCTAAAGATAAGAACGTATGAATATATTTGACTGAGCTGAGTTGTTCCTGTCTCTTTGGAGAGAGAAACCCTTTTCAAGTTTGGGCAAAAGCTAAAGTGGCTTATGAGAGCAACATTTTTATTTTTAATTTTAATTTGTTTATTTTATTATATTTTTATCTTAATAATTGAATAGAAACATTGATTTTCATACATCAACACCTCAACTTTAGTTAATGCTGAAGCCTGATACACTTTTTCTCCCATCTGTAATGTGTTAATTGAAAAGATACCAATTAACTGTAGTTACTAGCAACCATTTCTAACTTGGGGTTACTCCTTTTGAATGGTTTAAATGATCTTTACTTATATTATGCTTTATAAAGTCAGAATACTCCAAAGGGCTTTACACTAAACAGTACACCACTGTAAAGCCAAATACACTAAATGATTTTTCCAGTGGAGGGTTAAGATGTAAGATAACAGGATTGTGCTGTATTTTCATTTATCTATCTGTTTATCTGTTTATTTGGTGGTATCCAAATAAAAGAAACTTAATGAAAATGTTGGCCACGTTTTTCAGATTCTTTAACTTCAAAATGTTTTGAAATTCATAAAAATCTTTCTTTTACTGCACAATTATACTATAATCTGTGTTGTTTACCAAATTCATTTTATTAAAAAACTGCAGACAAAGTGATCTAAGAAAAAAAATCAACAGAAGTGAGTTTTTTTCTGTTGTGTGGATATTTTTCTTACATCCATTTCAGAATAATAATATCTGTGCAAAATGTACACCCCACCTTTATTTGATCTTGCTCCCCTGCATATTCTATAGACTGGAAGATGTTCCATGTGCACCTGCGTCTCATCTCCAGACGAGCAACATACTGTCTGTACCAGCGCTGGATCAACAGAGCTGCTCTTATTGCTGAGAAACAGAGAGAGGAAAACATTTTTAGAAACTTTACTTAATGGCAGGGTTTCATAGAAATTCATCCAAGAGGAAATTCTTGTCCAAATGGGTGTTTAGGATATCTGAGCCCACAGGCTTAAAAAGGGCCTTCAAGGGCCAAGAAGTGTTTTCTTTCTACAACTCAGGAACACTTTGACCTGGAGTAATAAAACATAACAGAAAGCAGGAAATACAATCCTGGCTAGAAAATGACTTACCTGTGGCAGCTTTCCAGAGTGCATGAAATATGGGTTAAGATTATAGCAGTTAAACACAAATTAATAGGTCTAAGCAAGGATTTTAACTGTTAAAGTTTATGTAAAGCTTTGTAAAGTTACCTGGAACTGAGAAGCTCACTGGAAAAAAAAAAAAAAAAAAACAGGGACTGAGGATTTGCAATAAAAAAATAATTATTTATATGTGCATACATAAAAAAAAAAAATAAAACAAAAGAAATACTATGCACCTCTGTTACATTTCTTCTGCTGGATTCTGGGCTTTCCCATGCCACATCCCATGACCCTTTGCTGCTTTCCCACTAAGAAACAATGTGAGTGAGTCTGAGATATGTGACCTTGTGTTCTGCAACCTGGAAATGGTTAAGTAATAGAATATCTACATACAAAGTAGCTGATTTTCTACCATTTTTTGATTCCAACTCAATAAACAGCTGTTGAATGAAATGTCTAAACAGAAGATAAATGTTGCAATTTAATGTGGAGTTGTCATCATTATTTAAGAAACATTATTTCTATTTTTTATTCTTTAAACAGTAAACATGACATAAAGGAAACTCACCTGCGATAGTCACCCCTCATTCATTACCTCCCGTCACCTCCTCTGGTTTTTTGTATCTTCCTTTTGTTTAAAGCTCTCCAGCTGCACTGTTGAATCTAGAAGAAAAGCTTTGATCAAAATAAATGATCTGCAGGTTAGGTGGCTGTAAATGTGCGATTCTGTTATAGAGTCATGCATCAGCTAAAGATCTGGGGAATATCAGAGCCAGGCGTCTTGAAGAGGCTACTGTAATCACTCACTCAAAACAAGATGCAGATGGATTAGGATTAAACTTTACTACAGCTCACATCTACGCTGAATAAACAGGAGAGGGCTCTATTAAAGGGCAGCAAGCTTTTCAAAAGGATCTCCTGTGGTCTCATCTACGGCTGAGAGCCATCATTGTGACTCATTGGACAGATCTGAGTAATGATACTTGACTTATCTGATACAACAATAAAAAATATTATCAGTTCCTTAATATTTCAATAAAAAAGAAAAAACAAACTGAAAATTTTCAACAAGAACTTTTTCCTGTATTTTGACTTAATATTATCAACAGTTTACAGCTTACAGCAACAAGTTAACAACTCCCATTAATATCCTGTTGTTTTATATTGTATTGATTTAATCAACTCCAATCCAGGTCCAGTAGAAAATGCCTGTACAAAAATCAGTTCCAACCTTTTGAAATTCCACCTCTAAACTAATCACCTGAGGGGCTAATAACCTGATTAAATGAACAGGATGAAGGGAAACGAGGCAGGGTTTTTATCTTTCTGGACCTGGATTATCTGAATCTGGATTTTTTTTTGCATTGGCCTTATGTCTGCTACTTTTTCCACTTCCCTGCAAAGCACGAAAAAAATAACCACCTGCCAACAGGAGGAATTACTTCTCTCAATGTGAATGTGTTGAAATACATTTTTGGAAGCATCCTCCAGTGAACCTACTCTGCATGGGTATTAATTCAGTAAATCACTCATCGGTTGAGAAATGCTCCCTGTGATCCCAGACAACAGCAGCTGGCCATGCTGTGACTCCCACCTAAGGCAACAGTTTGGTGGGAGGCGTCTGGCCCTCAAGGACTCCCTTTATTCATGGAAGGTTGCAAGTGACCCAAAGGTGTACTATCCCACAAAGATTTACAACATGCACGTGTCTGTTTGTGTGTGGGCAGTCAATTCGCAGGTCTGAAGAGGCTAATGTTCGCTCCTCAGCAAAAAATTATATTGGTCAGAGTTAATGGGGTGAGAAAAAGGAAACTAAATCTGGATATAGGCTAGGAAAATCTAAACATCCAGACAGAGCTACAACAGGATGTTTTAGATCACGTGTGAAACTCAAGGCCCGTGGGCCAAATCTACCCCTCAAGGCAAATTATCCGATTCTCAGGAGTAACAAAAGTTATATAAGCATAAAATGTTTTTGGATTATATTAGCATTTTTTTCTCTTTTATTGGCATCATACAATACCTGCATGTGTTCACCGATTTATTTGTGCATTCTGCAGCCATGCCAGAAGATCACTTGAAGTGCATACATTTGCCTTCCCTCCTTTTGTTATGTGTTGTTGTTTTGTTTGATTTGTTTATGTTTTTTCTGTTGTTGTTTAAGTTGAGACTTGACTTTTTTTGTAACTTGTTTTTTTATCTATGTGTACTTATTTGTATGTAAATGGAGGAAGGAAAAGGTGCATCTGTTTCAAGAATCGATCCGAATATATTGGCCGCACATATCGGTGATCGGTTAGACTACTTTCATAAAAATAATAATAATATATATATATATATATATATATATAACAAAAAGTTTTAAGAAAAAAAGGTTCCACACAAATAAATAGGAGTAAAGTTATAATACCAGAAAAATCTTCTCTTTGTAAAGGAAATAATGAAACCAAACATTTCATTTGCACAGTTAAACCTGCCTTTTTAAAACCAGATGATGCTGACTTGGCAAAAGTCCAAATTCCTTCAATGTCACAGTTATCCACAACTTTGTGTTGCTATATCCGATGAAAAATTAATAAAGTACACAAAATAAATAAAGTCATATATCATATAAAATATACGTAGCAAGCTTGCACCAACAGAACATTGCAGCTTGCCTGTTAAAGGAGTGGCAGCTCATTTCTGAAGATCTTGCAGACGCCAAAGTGACTACAGGTCAAGACCAGAGTGAAAATATCTACAGTAATCTGAACAAGATGTAATAAAACCATGAATTAGTATCTCTGAGTCAAGTAATGGAATGTGGGCCTTAACCTTCTTTCCACTGGAAATTGCATCCACCAACCTGCGTCCAGACCTCATTATGTGGTTTCCCTCACTCAACCTGGTGTTCATCATTGAGCTCACAGTACCCTGGGTGGGTGACCTAGAGGAACCCTTTGAGCGGAAGAAGGTGAGATACACCAATCTTGCAGCAGATGCCCCACAACAAGGATGGAACGTGAAGGTACACCAGGTGGAAGTAGGCTGCAGGGGACTTATAGCCACCTGAATATCTAGGCAACTCAGTGAGATGGCGGAGCGAGGGAAGGCCCACAGACAGACAATCAAGGACCTCTCAAGGGCCGCTGAAAAGGGGAGCCAGTGGCTGTGAACCAGCAGGAAAGCCCTGGCCTGGGGCTCCAGCACGTGATGGTTGAGAACCCAAAGGATGCGCTCACCCACTTGATGGCCACAGTGCCTCGTCAGTGCCTTAGGTATCTATTGGGATAACAACATCTTGTCCTACCCAACATATCTGAAAAGGGAAATAAATTTCCACACTCAACAATTGTTCAGATCGAAGATAAATCAAAGATTTTTGACTACTCTTAGACAAAACAATACATATGGAGTTTTAAAATACCCTGTAGCTTTATGGAGATAAATAACAATACTGTATGTTGTGTGAGAAACACAAGTTTTAATTCATACAAAGTTTTACATTTTTAATAAACAATTGTTAATCATTTCTAATAAAAATATAGGATTTATATAATATATTGAGAGTCAGTGTTCAAGAGTGCCAAACAGTATTGATCAATTAAGAAACATTACTCTAAAACGTATGTTTAAAAAAAACATAAATCTTACAAATAAAAGTTGAAAGAATGATAATTCATTTAAAACGCACATAGACCACCCACATGCCTATAGAGGTTATGTGCTGATGTAAAAAAAAGTCCCTGGCCGTGACTTGAGTTCAGTACCTTCTTTCTGCAAGGCAAATGTGCTGATAACTACTTAGACAAGTTCAGAACATGCATAATTATTGCAGAAGCTGGTTCCTATTTATTACAAGTAGAATCAATTTTTTCAGCCTTTGGGGGATAAGATCCAAAAAAAGAAAACTAACTCAGTTTAAGGCCCTCATCTGAAAACAGGAGAACATTGAAGTCAGCCAAGTATGAAAGCAAATAAACTTTAATGACCTCACAAAGCTTACTGAAAGAGGCAGCAGAGTAGGACATGAAGAATATACGACTAAAATAGACAAGGTCAGACTATGCAAAGACACATGGCTGTTTTGGTAGAGAATACTTTCTTTTGATATGAATGTAACTAGAAATGGTAAGTGCTTATGAATCATGTATCATAGCTTTAAGGTTATATTTATTACGTAACACGTCAAATATATTTTCAAATGTGTGTACGTGCTTACAATCCTGCTACCTTGAACAAAAAGAGAAGCTCCGACCTGCAGATAATGGGTTATAATGAGAGCTGTGATAGAGATCTCAGCAGTTTTGTAGAGACTTGTCAAGCATCTGATCCATTACCACACCAAATATTTTCTTCATATTTCCAAAACCATTCATCTGTTGGTAATAGATCCTGACAGACATCTCAACTGTCCTAACCTTGACATATAACTGAAAACCTCGATATAAGCATATAACAGATATCTTGATATTACCATATAAATATTTTCATATTTTTCCGGATTTCATGGAGGTTTCAGATCTGTTATTACATTTTTGTGCTGTATTTTGAAACTGACCCTGACTTTTTAACCTTTCCTTTTGGTCGGACTCACCTGGTCTTCATATGATTTAGACTTAGACTTTATTACCTGCATTAAATGCTGCAAAGCCTTTTTCTAGAGGGCAGCAGGGAGAACAGTCCATGGTGGGGGTGTGAGGGGTCATTGATAATGTTACAGGCTCAGGAAACGCAGCACTGGGATAAAATGTCTTTTATGAAGGGAAGAGGAGCCTCGATGATCCTCTCTGCTGAGGCGCTGCAGTAGGGGTGGGTATTGCCAAAGAAGTCACGATTCGATTCGAATCACGATTCATAGGCCACGATTCGATTCTATCACGATGCATCACGATACTTGAATTATTGCGATGCATTGCAATATTTTCTCCTCCATGTTTTGTTTTTGAATGACTCAGCGCAGAATCCCGCGGCCGGAAATGCTTGTGACACAAGGCAGCATGCTTCAACACATCCGCAGCGACATCTACTAGACTGGAAGTTGTATTACACTTGTTTTTTGGCTGATGTTCTCCAACCAAGCATGCAATTTTATTTATTAATTTTTTTAAATTAACAATCGATACTTGGCATCAAGAATCGATGCAGTAGATCACGAAAATTAGAATCACGATGCATCATCATGACGATTATTTTGCACACCCCTACGCTGCAGCCTCCACAACAGACAGTGGGACAGCTGGTCAGAGCGCTCTCTATGGTGCTTCTGTAGAAAGTCATGAGGATGGGTTGATGCACTTTTGTGCCCTTTTGATCGTTGAGGTGATGTTTACAGTCCAGGTAAGGTTGTTGGTTTTTTATTGTTGCTCTTTCCCTGGTAACTATTGGTATCAGGGCCTATTTTTCTTTGGCTTTTTTTTTTGTGTGTTTATATGTTTTTGTATGTTTCTAGAATTTCCATCCTCAAATCAATCATTCCACACCTCAACAGATGCAAATTTCTTGTTTGCATCGGAGACCTCCTCAACAGCCTCCAAAATTTTAAATCAATGTCTTTTGTATAGATAATATTTGATAATCCAGCACAAAGTTGTCTGTATATTTGTCATTTGAAGTAAATGATATGTTTTAATTTATTTTTATGAATACAAAGCGGAGACATCTAGTATGCAGTTGCATTTTGTCATTACTTAGTATTTTTTTTCAGTAGTAACATTTTGGAGTATTTGTCTCAGTGTCTCAGTTATCTTTGCATAATAGAAAATATTTTTTTTTACTATTTCTTTTCAAATTAGTTTAAACTTAAGCCCAGGTTAAGTCTTTTTGCAGCCTCAAATATTTTTTTTTCTCAAGGACTGACTTTAATTTCCACCGATCCTCCTACCTGTTTTACTAGTTCCTCTTTCCTTGATATAATTATAATAATAATGATAATAATAACAATAATAATAATAATAATAATCTATCTCACACGGGAGAAATGTACCTCTGCATTTAACCCATTCCCTTGGGGAGCAGTGGGTTGCCATTGTGTGGCGCCCCCTTTGCATGTTACTGCCACCACACGCCTTTACAGTTGAAATGGTGTGTTCAGATTATTCATAAGCGGTCTATATTTACTAGATTGGTAACCTCCAAAATCTGGATGTTATTTAAGGATATCAGAATAAAGTCTCTCATACAAATCAATGCAGCACTCTTTATGTCTTAGTTTCTAGCAAACAAACAAAAAATGAAGCGGGATTTTCATTTCACTTTAAAATTATTTACGACCTCATATCAGTAATTCAAATAAATAAATAAATTAAAGTTAATGGTTGTAACCAAACCTGTAAAACTTTTACAGGGTATAAACCCTTCCGTGAGATACTGCAGTGCAAAATGCTGTCATGAATTCTTTCTGCAGGTCCATCTCACATGCAATATTAAGCACAAAGAAAACCACAAGTCTTGTTTCTGCTTGTAGCAGACATTCCTCTTGCTCTCTGGATGAAATATGGTTTGATATCCAGTGCACCTGATCAGATACCCCGTTTTAGGCCTCATGAGAAAGTTTTTGCTTCAGCTCCATTTTTGGCAAAGGATCTTGTTTGAGGGCACCAGAGGACAAAGAACGAGTGTGTAGTGTAGCGCTTAACTCTGTGAAGTCTTTTTTTTTCCAACCCTCTGGCACCAAGATTGCAACATCACCTGCAGCATTTTTTCCACATTTGTTTGTTACATTTCTATCGTGGCCTTGATAAACAACTGCAAGGGAATAACACCATTGCTATCTTTATCAGAGGAGGATACTCGTTATGTTAAGCCAGGAAATATAACTTTCTAACTCATATTTTAATGGCTTATTTAACTGAGTCAGAGGTTTAAAATAACCATATTAATATTTTGGTAAAATTAGATAAAATATTTTTTTATTGAATTTTATTAAAAAAGGACTTTTCTGAAAATTAGATGATCTCAATGAGAATACCTATATTAATAAAGGTGTGGTTCACTTCACTTCAATTCGATTCAATTCAATTTAATTTGATTTAATTTAATTTATCCATCCATTCATTTCTGACCGGCTTATCTCTACTGGGGTCGCAAAGGGTCCTGGTGCCTATCTCCAGTTGGTATCCAGTCTGTCGAAGGGCAACACAGACACAGTGTACAAACAACCATTCACTCACATACTCACAACTAAGGACAATTCAGAGAAGCCATTTAACCTAAAAGTCATATTTTTGGACTGTGAAAGGAAGCCGAAGTACCCAGATAGAACCCATGCATGCACAGTGAGAACATGAGAACTTCATGCAGAAAGACCCCGAGCCAGGAATTAACCCGAGAACCTTCTTATCAATCCATCCATCTTCTGTCAAGCTTTATCCCAGCTGGGGTCACGAGGGGTTCTGGTATCCATTTGATCCGGAAATCAAACCCAGATGCTTCTGGCAGGGGTGCTACCCACTGCTCCACTGAGTATTTAAATAAATTAAATTAAATTTTACTTTATTTTATTTTATTTAAAAAAGGCTCGGTTCAATTCAAGTCAAGTCAGGTAAAGTCCATTCCATTCGATTCAATTCAATTAAGTTCAATTTATTAATTTATTATTTTACTTTATTTTATTCAATTCAAAAGTAAGGTCAACTAGAATTTAATTCAATTTAACCTTATTTAAACATGTTTTATTCATTCCAAATGGGAAATAAACTGTTATTGGATCTCAAAGGTTTAAAGCAATATGCAAGAAGGATCTCCTATAGAGTTCTGTCTTGCACCGGAACTGAAAAAGCCTCTGACTGAAGACACTCTATTGCTGTTTGACAGGTTGTCCACAATGCTCTTTACTTTATGAAGAATTCTTCTTTGTGAAACATTTTTTAGAGGAGTTCCCTGATCAGTGCTGGCCTCTTTATTAGCATGTTGAGCTTTTTTATGTAATTCACTCTGATGCTGTAACCCCAGTAGATGATGGCAGTAGAGATCACGCTCTTCACAAACTTATAGCATATATGCAGCCTCTTGCTGCAAACACTAAAGGACTTAAGAGTCAGATAGAGGTCAGCATTTTTTTCTGTTGAGGATGGACAGATGGACAAATGAGTGGATTAATCTGTTTTCTTTCACTTGGCAGTATGTGCTCCTTTCTGTTGGGACATAACATAAAATCAAATTGAAATGCATTGAACTGTATGGTTGTAACTTAAAAAAAGGTGGTGAAAGGTGTGAATACTTTTTAAGGGATCGTTATTACACTCTACATTTGGCAAAATAACTCCAGAACTGCATAAAAAAAAAAAAAAACTGGAACAGTCTAAGCTCTGTCCTGTGATGCACTTTTAAGCACATATTGCAGCATGTGTGGCTTTGCTAATTTAGTCTTCTTCCCACCTTTCATTCCGAAATGTTTCTTTTGGGTCTGTCTATTGGTCTTCCCCTGCTGGATCATCCTCCTAGCACTTTTTCACACAGAGCAGGGGGGCAAGACAACCGTGTTAGTATCTCAAGGCCACACTGGGGTGAAAGAAGATAAAAACTCAGGTTCCCAGGCCCCAACTAACAGTACCACAGAAGAAGTACGTGAAGAACTATCCTCTTTGTTGTCTTGGAACCTGCCTTGGCCACACTGTTCCACCGCTATGTATTTTGCAATCATAAGTATTTTGATGTGTCTTGGGTCTTCAGTGGTGATTGCATTCGTCCTGCATCCGCTCAGTGAGGACCCTGCAACTTCAGCTAATTCTCAGTTTTCCCATCAAAGGTCAGTGTCATCCAATAAGTTGTACTGATGTTGTGTAAGATTTTGTGTTTATTTCTATACATGAAATATTTTGTAAAGGTTTACCATTATGGAATATGGTTGAATTGTAATTTCTCTGTGTCTCATGGTCATTTTACAACATTTGTTCTAAATCGTTCCCTTCAAGTGTCCACCTTTTATCACAAAATACCTCAGCTCCCTCTCAGATTTATGACATTTCATAACAATGTTAGCTTATTACATTACAAATTCTAGTTTAAACTGCTGTGTATACATACATTTTAGATAAAAATGTATGTAAGAATATAAAATGTGATGATTGTAATATTCAGGTGCCAGGATGAGTCATTGCAGTCCATCAGAAAGGGTCTGCTGAGGGCTCTCAACATGCAGACTGAGCCACAGGTGCCGGCTGGTACAATAGATAGCGTCCGTGAGCAGTGGCTGAGAACATTCACCACTATCCCTCAAAGTGTCAGGAAGATTGCAGGTAAGTGGAATCCATAAGGCCAGGTCTGGATGTTTGGAACCAACCGTGCGTTATGTCACTTAAGCTGACAATCTCCCTCTTTCTTCAGCAGCTGCTGATTACCCTGTACCGCAGGACAGTGGAAACAGCACAGGAATGAGATGTTGCTCTGTAGCCTCAGAGATCTTCATGAAAGGTATTGAACAATCAGTAAATGGTAAATGGTAAATGGCATGTACTTATATAGCGCCTTTATTCAAGTTAGGAGACTTGACCAAAGCGCTTTACACTACATTCATTCACCCATTCACACACACACTCACACACTGATGGTGGCAAGCTACATTGTAGCCACAGCTGCCCTGGGGCTCACTGACAGAAGCGAGGCTGCCGTACACTGGCGCCACCGGGCCCTCTAAAAATTAATACACAGTAAAAATTAATACACAGAAACAGTTTTTTCTGTGATCTGATTTCACATTTTGTACCTTTTAGACCTGGGCTGGGACAGCTGGGTAATCCATCCTTTGAGCCTGAACATTGTTCAGTGTGCTCTGTGCAACCCTGCAGATGGCACCATGCAATGTCCCTCCTCCTCCTCCAGTGTCCAGGATGCCAGCACACAGGTATGCATCCTGACAAACTATAGACCCGAAATGTTTGCTCAACTTCTAGAAAAACATAAATGCGATGCATGTATAAATATATATTATTGAATGCCAGTTCTGATGTATTGATCTAAGTATTCCCTATTTGTAAACTCTGACTATCTTTTGTTGTTTTCGTGTTTTCATTCTAGCACAACTTAGTATTGCAACTTTTTACGAAGCAACAAAGTTTGTGTATAAGAGGATTGACTGACTTTTGATCTGTTTGTGCATTTAGGGCCATTTGCCATGTTGCCAGCCCACCTTGCAAGAAAACCTTAATCTGGTCTACATGGATGAAGCCGGCGCCATTGTCATCTCTCCGGTGATGCTGACAAGAAGCTGTGGCTGCAGACCTGGGAACGCCCAGCAGCCCAGTGTAGAATAGACTGGGGTATGTCCTGCAGTCTTTGGCATAAAATCCCAAAACATCTTTGTACACAGATCGCCCACCTGTATTGCTGTCTGTTTCTCTATCTTTAATTGTTATTTAGTGTACTCAGCAGTAATCGTGGGAACCAAAGCAAAGTCTCGGTTTTGAATTCCTGCTGCTCCCTTGTACTGAAAACAGATTTCTTGAGCCTGCAAGTAATAAAAAATATGTTTCTGCCCATGACCACTACATAAATGTGCTGTTTTAACAAAAAATCAGCATCAAAGACATGAAAAAAAGATATTGTATTTTTAAAAGCTTTGATTTTCAATCTAATTCAGCAGGAAAAGACCATAGAAAGGTTCCGATGACATGTACATGAATGATCCTCTCGAGGACAGTTGATTTATTTATAGCTGCTAACAGTTACTCAGTGTTCCTTTCAAAAATGTGAGAGAGGGCTATGCCAAATACTCCACACGCCAGTTTTTTTTTTTTTTCTTCACTGAATAGTGAGGCCACTATGTCCTCCTATGGGAAAGATTACAATTTGTTCTCAGCAGGGAATCCAGGGTCGAAAATAAGTGTGTATATTTTACATTGCCTTATATTGATTTAAAGTGAACGCTTGGTTTGGAATCTCTAGAATGTTTATAAAAGTAATCAAACTTTAAACCTCATGAAATTATAATAATTATAGTCTTCTTTTTTACTCAAAGCTGTAAAATTACTGTATTCATAAAAACAGTACAAAGTAAGGTCATATAAAAGTACCAAAAATGTAAAATTTCATCAGTTAAAGACTAAATCAACAAAGATTAGGGAATAAATAAAAACACTTTTACAATTTTTTATTCCAAGTCATTACTTGGCATACAACCTTTGGGCATTCCACCTTTTAAAGGAAACAGCATTTGTGTTTTTAGAATAATTAAAGTGCAGTGATGGAACATTCAGAATGTTTACAGAAAAACACCCTGCAATTAAAACCTGGTGTCGGTTTAATTTGAACCTGACAACAAATAAGACCGACTCTCCACTGGTAATGTGAAATGTCCAGTCTTTTCTAACAAACAAATGCCTCTATGTTTATCAAAGAGACTTTAATTCAAATGTGCTAAACTCTTAGATGATCATTTATATGTATACACTGCAAAAAAATTAAATCTAAGTAAGTAAATTTTTCTTAAATTAAGTGCATTTTTCTTGAATTAAGCAGGTAAGTAAAAAAATACAATTTACATTTTAAATAAGAAAAAAAAACTGCAGCTGCAACTGCATCTAATTCTCTTATTTTGAGGCTAAACATACTAATTCCATTGGCAGATCATTGTATCTACCAACTCAAATTAAGGGTAAATACGTTTATTTGAATTTTTTTTTACTCGTTTTAAGATCGTTTTTGCAGTGTATATCTTATCAATTTTTCCTATGTAAGAATTCTTTTTCATGTTTTAATTATTCAAACTTTAAAATTGAAACACTTATTTCCCTGTTGTTTTTTTTTAGCTGTAGATCTACTGCTAAAAAATGCTTCTCTCAATATTCAATATACATTCAGTGCTTTTTTATTGTTTTATTGTTGTTTTTATCTATGTAAATTAATATGATTTATTAGTGGTGACAATTCTCATTTTTTTCAGTACTTTTATGTAATTCTTGTATTAACGTCACAAAGTTACCTCACAGTTTAAGTTTTTGAGTTTTATTTACACCGTGTGCAACTATTCAGTTAAAAAAAAACACTTTTAGACCCAATTTTTAGGACACTCCTTTGCTTTTCTAATCATTTGTAATGATTCTGTGATTTCTTGCTTTTAATTATTTGAATAAAAACTTACTCAAATGCTTTGTTTGTTTATTCCGTCAGTTTAATGCCTTGATATCCTTAAAAGTGAAGGATTGATGTTATGAAGCTCTTTCTAAAGCTAGTCCTTTATGCCTGCTTGACAAGCAGAAATTGATGAAATGAAGCCAAGAGGGAGGGAAATCTGAGCTGAAGAAATGTTGGCTGTGTGTTTCGAAAGACCAGGTGCTGCTCAGAGGAACTTTGATACTCTGCAGTCTTTTTGACTGGCTACTGATGTTTTCACTCATGCTGCAGGCGTCTGTGCACAGTTAGTTTAGTCTCTTAAGATCATCAGCGGATAGAATGATGGGGTATTTCAGCATTTGGGTGTCCTTTGGCTTGATGTCCCATCTTTTGCTGGGTACTGGGGCAGTCAAGTGCTCAGAGAAAGAAACGCTGCTGATGCTGAAGCCCAGCTCCATGAAACTACCAACGGACTGTTTGATAGCGTGCAGTTCAATGACATATGCTAAAAAACTGCAACTTCAGGACAACCACAACATACGGATGACAGACTCCACAGAAGGTAAGAAACAAAGAGACTTTGGCAGAGTTGGACACAGAAACTCCCTTTGATACATCACTAACTAATGTATAGAAACTTTTTTATTATATGCAAGAAATCTAGTTTCAGTTCACATTCATACTATTATTTAAAGATGCCAATTATTTAGTTTTCCTTACTTTAAACCATATGATAATGAAATTATAATAATGCATAGTTAAGAATATGTAGAACCTTTAAACCTCAACAATGTAGATTATTATGTAGGTGATTGGATATGATAAGTAAGTGATCATGTCTGTATAAATATATATTTTATTATCTTTGCAGCTAAAATCTGTCATGAGCTTTATGCTTGTTTTTTTTAAATAAACTAAGTGATTTTTTAGAGACATTTTTACAATTACCATATAAAAATTATTATTTTTTTAGCTGCCGGCATCAAATGGTAATATTTACATCCTTCACATCTAATCCGAGTCATTTTAAGTCATTTATCAATTGATTTTTATGAACAGGAGACCCCGGGGAATACTGCTGGTCTACCACGTTGAAGTGCCTCACAGGAGATAGTTTCAAGAACGCGTATGTGGTGGTGCCTGTGGACGTATCAGCAGAGGGAAATGAACAGTTGGACGTCAGAACCACTGGTCCAAATCCCATAACGCTGGACAACAACAACAGCCCTACAGCAATAGCAGAGAGCTGTGGACTTATTTACGAAGTAACGCCACACTTCACCACGCTGGGCACAGAGAAGTTGTTCTGCGTGCAAGTTTTTACACAAGAAAGCGAACTGGGAGACAGGTTTCTTACTTGTCCTCCGTTTCTAATTACATTTTGGCAGAGAAATGTAAACCAGCCCAGTCAAGAAGATCTCGGATAGGAAAATAATAAGAGGAAAAGGGTACTTTAATAGGGATGTTTCTTTGGTCAAAGTTCTTATTTCAAATGAACTGTGCAAACAGCCTGTAAATATATAATCAGCACATTAAAAAAGTATTAAGGAGAAATAATAGTTCAATACAATATAGCCAACTTTATTTTGTAAATAGAATATATTGCTGTAGATTATCAAGACAAGCCTCAGGTCAATGCTACTAATGATTAAGCCAGAGATACTGATTTAAATAACTGCAGATAGTTCTAGGATGACCACTAAGAACATTAATGGACAGCTTAGTGAAGAAAGGTTGTCTGCTTAAACAAGTGGTTGTGTTCAGCTCAGATTGTGTCTGTAAACCGGAGACCAAAACTAGGTGGTCTGGTCCAGAAAGTCACGCAGAGCTCGATGCCACACACATCCACAAAAGTCCCTTTAGCCCTACTTTTAATCCAGATTTGGCTTTTGAAAAACTTTATATAAATGTATATAATGATATAATGAAAACATTCTTTGTAAAAACGTATTGTTATAAAGAAATTAATGGAATGAGATGCATGCTTGTCACTTTACATGCAAGGCATAATAATTAGCTATGAATAAAAACAAAAAAATAATACAATGCTCACATTTATATGCCAATTAAAATGTGATTTATCTTAAATACTCAATACCTCTACCTGACAAATGAAGCACTGTGCAAGCCTTTTACCTTTATAAAAAAAATTTGTATTTTGAAAGCTATTTTTTAAATAATAAACAATATTTTTCAACCTTGAATGCTGTTGCGTCAAGAAAAAAAAAGATTAAACTCAATACAAATTATTATTGATGATGTAATTAAAAAAAAGACTTTAATGTGTTAAAAAAAATCCAATTAAGTAAGCTGCATGAAGTTATTTATCTGCCAACAGTCAAAACAATCAGGTGTTTACTTTTTAATCCTTCCAGGAGTAAATACATCACCGTTTTCACATCATCATTTTCATGTCAAGCCTGTTTGCTGCTATGAATATGCAATCATTTGAAAGTAATCTTATCGCTCTTATAATGCGCTTGGTGTTGTTTTGTGTCTTTTTTGAAAGTTGATGACCGCATCTAAGCATTGAAGTGAAGAGAGAATCTGCTGCTTCTATTAGACATGTTCCTACACAACATACGTTGTGCACTTTTTTTAATTGACTTAAAGAACGTAAAACTCTAAAGCATGACTCCATGACTCTTTTGAATATTTAGGGTTCTGTTGCTGTGCAAGCAATTATTTCCCTCTTCAAATAAATATCTGGTTTTATTGATTTTTTTTTTTTTTTTTTGCAAAAAGTACAAGGCTGGAGCAGATTTTGTGTTTTTAGAAATGCAAAAAAATGCATAGCTTTCTTCAATTGTGTCATAGTTGTATATTGAGGAAGTCTGCCCTATTAATTGCCAATTTCTCCCTGACAGTTTAATATAATTCAGCATGTTATGGAAAGCACACTAGCCTTTAGTTTATTGTATTCTGTTGTATTTGTATTTCAACCAATGCAAGGAAAGAGTGCCACCTGCTGGGCATTGTGTGACCTGTTAAGGGTACTTTTAAAATTAAATAGTTGTAGGTTGTTTTTGTGTTGTTTGTTTGTTGTTTTTATTTTGTTTTTTGTGCCTTTTTTTCTTATTTGCTTGTCTGATTAAAGGTTAGGATGAGGAAACAGTGGAAAAGGAGGGGATAGCATGAAATCCATGCAAAAACATCCACTCATGTTAGATCTTTTTTTTGTTGTTGTTGTTGTTAAAAAATGTGGCCATATAATCATGTACTTACTGCACACTGTTTTGTGTCGGACTGCCGCTATAAATTCCAATAAAATAAAATAAAGCTTCTGGTTTTAATGTGACATGTTGTGAAAAAATGCAGGATGTGACACTTAAGCAAAACTTTTTGGAAATCCCACATAGATTTCTTTTTAAAAAGCTGTTGATTGATCTTTCCAAGTCTTTAACAATCGGATCTATCAGGTATGTTTCTTATTTCTATTGTCTCTCGGAATATAGCTGTAGATTGTTTCAATGTTGGGGTTTCTTATCTTTCTTTATTATTAGTTTTACTCTCACATAAAACTGTTGTTTTGAACTGACAGTCCAGTAGGTTCAACATAATACACCCAGATGGCAGTACCATGTTCAGTCATGTAGGGGTGATGTCTAAAACTTTACATGAGCTGCAGAGAATGTGTCAAAATAATTCCTAACAAAGCCACGATAAAACGCCGCTGTTATTGTTATTAATTGTATTTTTTGTATCTTTAAAGAACAAAAATCGGTAAAACTCCTGCTTTTAAACGTCTCTCGGTGGAATTAGTGTATAAAACCCGAGGCTGGTCCCCGGGTGGCTGGGTAGGGTGGAACAGTCCGATAGGCAGACGGGCTGGACTGAACCCAAAATACGCTCACTTAGCTGACAACTACAAAATAAATAAAAACTCTAAGCAGTTGAAACAATTATATTAAGTTTACCGGTAAACAATGTGACCAAGTGTGGAGACCTCCACTCGGTGAGGACCCCCAGGAAGAAACAACGAATGACAACGAACTTTGGTCGCTGCGAGAGGCGCACTGCACCATGGCATCCCAACCGAGGTAGGCACAACCTTCCGCGGCTAACCGGTAGCAGCTACCCCCGCCTAGACGGTTCCTGACCCCGGTTAATGCTCCTCAGCTGGTGGCGGGGCTTTGGTCCCGTCTTGGGTTACACTTAGTTTGGCTAGAGTTTATGTGCTTATAACCAAGGGAATGAACGTCGGAGGTGTCAAACCAACTTGGAGACGTGCGAGGATTCAGGTCGACGGAGGAGGTGGAATCAGCTGGAAAGGGCTGGCTGGGTTTTACCAGCTGCGAGTCGGAGCTTTGGGGTTTATGCATGATATTTATATGGGCATACACCCTTTCAGATGAAACGGCCAGCTTCATTATGATCATACATGCTTCTCTTCAGCTACGTGTTCGACAAAAAAAAAAAAAAAAAAACTTGGTTTAGTTAGTGAAGCGGAGCTGTCCCTTTAAATAGGTCTGAGTGCCTTCCATCCAGCTCAGAGCAGAGAATGACGCTTGACAACAAATTACTCAGCATGACTTGTGAGGGTTAATACTCTCTGTTTGACAATAGATACATAAAAAAAAATGTGTGTGTGTGTGTGTGTGTGTTCAGTTTGTTCTGACCCATCCAGTCTTTGCTTTCTAATGTTCCTAATAAATTTCAGATCTGATATATATATATATATATATATATATATATATATATATATATATATATATATATATATATATATATAGTTGCAACTAACAAATTGTTATACTGTTAGACACTTAACAAAGGCAACAAAGTTAGACACTTAACAGTATAACTGTATTTTATTGTTTATCTTTTAACTTTTCACTATTATGTTATTCTTATACATTTATTTTATAGTCCATTTTTTTATCTTTTCTATCTTTATCTTTTTTTTATCTTTTTTGCTGCTGTACACACCAGAATTTTCCCATTGTGGGAAAATAAAGGGATTTTTTATTCTAATGGTTATTTTGTAAAAAAATGA